GAGGAGGTCTCAGGATGTCCTGGTGTGGAGGGAGATGAGGCTGTGTTCAGGTCCATGACTGAGCTGCAGGGTGACAGAGTGGAGGTGGGACAGGAAAGCTGTGGGCTCATGGAGGGGGTGTGGTGTGTAGGGTTGGAGGCAGGGGGGGAACTGAACCTATTGAAGAACATGTTCAGTTCGTTAGCTCTGTCCAGACCTCCATCAGTCTGATAAATATATATCTAATATATATCTAGAAGCCTAAATTCTCTAGGAGTCAGAAAGGTCAGTATCAAAATAAGAAACAGTATATTATCACTGTTAGTTTCATTATAAGAAAGTAAAGAAGACAGACACCCTGTTAAGGCAACATTTTTCAACTATTCTACTGTGTCTGCTTCCCTCTAGTGGCTTAAAAGAGGAACATTATTCCTCAGTGTTCAGAGACAATCTTTAAAGAATGACAGTTCTTTTGTTAAAAATAGTGTCACATCCTCAAAACACAACATTTGTCATTCAGCTTGCTCACAAATTGCAGCAGTTCTCAGTTCTGTTCCTGTTTTGCCAACATCTTGTGTGACTTTAATGTGTGTTGTCAACATTTTCACACAGGATTCACAAATTATGTCAAAATTCAACTATTTGCTAAGTGAATAAAATGACAAATGGTTTGTTGAAGAATAGAAAATAATGCTCCTTTCACTTTGTGTTAGTAAGGGGGAGAGGCTGCAGCATAACCAATTACAATAGATAGATAGATAGATAGATAGATAGATAGATAGATAGATAGATAGATAGATAGATAGATAGATAGATAGATAAAACCACACAACAACAATAACTGATACAGTAACAAAATAGCCAAAGTGCCGAAATATTCCACAGTCTGGTGATAGAGCATGATGCTCTATCTCACCCCAATGTCCTCTCTCCTCGCCCCTCGCTCCCTACCTCTTCCCGCTTGCTGCTCCTCCCCCTCCCCCCGAGCTCAGAGTTGAACAGTTTGATGGCTCGGGGAACAAAGGAGTTTTTGGGTCCTGTTGGTTTTGCACCTGGGGAGGAGCAGCCTGTCGCTGAACTGGCTCCTCTGGGTGATGATGACAGTGTGCAGAGGGTGGCTGGCATCGTCCATGATGGCCAGCAGTTTGTTCAGTGTCCTCCTCTCTGCCGCTGTCACCAGGGAGTCCAGTTTCATGCCCACTGCAGAGCTGGCCCGCCTGATTAATTTGTCCAGCCTCGATACGTCCCTTTTTGATGTGCTGCTGCCCCAGCACACCACGGCGTAGAAAAGGACGCTGGTGACCGCCGACTGGTCGAACGTCCGCAGGAGTTTCCTGCAGATGTTGAACGAAGGTGCTAAAGGTGTTAAGAAGACGTTCTGTAATGTCACAGCAGTGACAGCTCCAAAAGATGCTTTTCACACAGCACAGGTTTAATTTCAGGTGAACTCTGTGATATCCTGTTTTTTCCAGTTGAATACAGAGGCAACCTAAAACTCTGGACTGCACCATTTCTATGTTCTCTTCCGATTGCACCACAAGATGGCCATCGTTGACGAGAGCTCCCTGTCAACTCACTATTGTGCATTATCTGTACATATTCTATCTTGTTTATTTAGTGTTTCTAGTTTTTCTAGTGCTGTGAATAGTGAATTTATTTCTTATTCTTGTCCAAAACATTTAATTGCATAGTTGACTGTGCACTTAACCTGCATATGACAAGTAAACGAATCCCAATCTGAATCTGATCTAATCTATATGCTCTGTTGACCTTTGTAATGTTTGCATGTTTCAGCTCAGCACAAGCAGCCTGCAGAGGAGCTCTGATACCTGTCTGTCCTCTGTCTGCTGTCCTGTTGTCTCTCTGCTTCCTTCACCCCAACAGGTCGAGGCAGATGGCCGCCCTCCTGGTTCAGCTGGAAGGTTTTTTTTGTTTCCTCTCTGATAACAGGGACTTTTTTTCCTTCCTTACTGTCGCCAAAGTGTCGATGTTTCTATCGAGTAACGTGGTAGTATTTGATTCAGAACTCACTTTGGAAGCCTGAGGTTGGTTGAAAAGAGATTATGTTGGACATTAAGGACATTGTTAAACTACCAGTATATGTAAATGTCTACTCCCCAACAATTCAGTTGCTACCATTTCTAATTATAAAAAATAAGCTGAAACCTAATTCACTATTTAACACTTGTCTATTAGGATTATATTGAATAGAATAAACTACTTATTTAAGTATATTCTAGCACAGACCTTTGTTTTACGGTTTTGTTGCAACTTTAGGTCGGTCTCTCTTTTATCACCGTATATATTTGCATTGCTGAATAACCATTTCTGTTGTCAGTTTAAAGACATTTCTTTCAGTTCGATGTTCCAGTTTGTTATTATTACACATCTTATTACACATGTCCTTATATTATTTCAGATATATTTTTTTAATATACACCTTCTCAACTCTTATTCAATGGCTTTTAGGCTTCTAGCATTCCACTACAAAATGTAAAACATTTTCAATAATAGCATCAAAATCTTCTTCACTTATCATTTCAGTTTCAAGCACAGCTTTACTATTCTTTGGTTTCCATTTATTGGCTGTGATCTTGCTTTACAGTATAAAAAGTAAGTTCTTGCTCGTAAGGATTGACTCCTGAGATACCCGTCAGTCTCTTAGCGGCAGAGACAGCTTTACGTGTCGCATCTGACATGATTTTTCCACCATTTTAATCTTTTGCTGTACTTTTTACTATGGTCCTGCCACAAAAGCCAGTAAGGTTATCTTACTAACTACAGCCGAGTCCTCTGGAGTTGCAGACTCATTCCAGGCAGTCCTAGTTGCCGTGGAGCTCCTTAGACACTGTCACTCTCCTCACTACCTCTGCAAAATACATTAGATTTTCCTGACTTTCTGAACCTGCTCAGCTTTTATATATTCTGAGCACGCTCAAAAAGACGATAGGTGAGCCACTGGCTGCACTTCACAGCCTTATTACACTCTATTTCATCATGGTCTCCTCCAAAACACTGACAGCAGCGCTGGCCTCCACATACAGCAGCCTCTTTGGCAGTTTCAGCACCACAGAGGGGCTCTGTAACCACGTGATTCCCTGTTTGGCCAATCTTCTGATCTAAATGCAATTAGCCCTGGAGTGCTATTTCCCTTCTGAGTTCAACTTAAGTAGTTTCCCCCCTTTAAGTAATTTAACAGCTCATGATCCGATATCTTCACAGACATGTCATACATTACTGCTTTAGTTCCAGTATTAGCTGCTGGTGCCAATGATGGAGCTGGACAATTTTCATCAAGGTCACCAGGCTAGGAGTATTACTGACACTGGAGTGGCACAAAAAGTGATATCTTGTGAGGGTTTTTTTTTTTTTTTCTGGTTACTTAGTTGTTGATTTTACCGTTCTATATACATTAGGGTAAGGATATAACTGCAGTTCTGAGTATGTGCATCGTCCTCTAACAGACTTCACTATTGGTTCTGTTGGGTGGTCAGACTTCAGTATGAGGTGGCTGTAATTTCTAGACTTTAGTTTGCTGCTGAGAAGACTCACAAATCATGTGCTTCATTAGTCAAAGTAATACCATGTAGAGTGTCGGATTATTTTGAAATGTCTGACAGTTTCAACAGAACAACTAGTCTAAAGTCCGGACTCCCCTCTTAAGATGTATAGCAAACCTTCCCTTCACATGCATGTTTCCTGCCTTCCTTCACTTGTTGGCTATAGATGTTGCCATCTTGTGAATTGGAGCTTTTCCTGGCTGTCATTGACAGCATGTCATTCACCCTCATTTCTAACACCCACCTCCCTACCAGGTGTCACTCCACCTGTGAGCAAAGCCTCGATGTTCCTGCGTCTAGATACTTGGAGATTGTCCAAATAGCAATGTGAAGCCATCTGTCGGCATTTTTTCCTCTCGAAGTAGAGCGGTACCTTTTGTCCTCTACTGATAGATTCAACCAATTCTACATCCACTTGCAAGATTGCAGAACCAACTAAGCAGTTTGTAGATCTAGAGTGTGTTTCAGTATTAGGGGATCCACAGCTAAAACCAGACAACTGGTAAAAAGACAATTTATTGCACAACACACACATTTTCACATTACAATGAGTTGTCTAGGAATGACTGACACTTTCTGAAAAGACAAACTGAGAAAACTGTCAAACAGCACAAATGAATATATACAATATATATATCATCCTCCTCTTGTCCTGTGAGGATCAGGTTGAGGCAGATGAAGGGGCAGTGGATGCAGCATGTGGCTGAGAATCTACGAGCTCCATGTCTTTGTTGACTTATATGTTGACCACACAGATCAGGCAGTTGCTGGGGAGAGACCCTGGCACATTTTTGCACGTCGCCACCCACCTGAGCACAGACGAAAACTCCATCATGGTGGGTTTAAACAAGCCATTTGCGTAGATTCCCGACATGCCTACTAGTGACACAAATCAGCATTATTTTGTTGAGAACAGCAACTGAAATGGTTTGAATTTATAAGTATGTTTTCTACTAACGAGGACATTAGTATTGGACAATTACATCTAATAGTAATGAAACAACAAAAAACAACCAGCCAGAACAACAAAAGGTCAATCAAGACCAAACAAAGTATATCTGCTTAATGAGGATTTGACACTACAGTCTACACATCAGTGACAAAGACATCAGCAGTATCTATGTATTGTTTTTATACTATCATTTAGTTAATAAACCAACCTGTCTGTTCCAATGTGGTACTCAAGTATCTCTGGCATTCGCTCCCCTAATTCCCCCCTGCCTGCCAGCACATAGATGACGTTTCCTACTGCTGCACACTTCACCGCCACACCTCGCCATGGCATAGGCGAGGCAGCACACCACTCATTATCAGCAATGCTGTAGTATTCCACTGAAACCAGTCCACCTGGAAAAAACACACAAACAAAAACAAAAAAAACACAAACCGCATAATTCTAGTGCACTCTTGCTACCATCATATTCTACAGCTGCCACGGGGATTTTTGGTACACTATTTCTTCAGCACTGTAATGGCAGCAGGGGTGTCCGTTTTATTACCCAGTGCCCCCTGCCCTCCAACAGCATAGATCCTGTTGTTGACAACCACCAACCCGTGGTTCTTCCTGGCCTCTCTCATCCCACACAACTCCCTCCATCTGAAAAGGTAAAAAGTAGAGAATAGCAGGTAAATGCTGGAGCACATTATGTGCCTAAATTATGTTAAACTGAGAAAGCAGTTTGCCCAGTTTCCTGTAAAATAAAACTGTTTAGACACTGATGTAAATAAGGCTAGTACAGATCTCTATTGTAACAGTCTTCCCTTGTATAGAATTACATTACATCCATATACTGTATAAGCTGATGGGCAAAAAATGTCTTGAGACTGTACACATGTGGGCTCATTGTGTCCATGACTCACTGATGCGTTTTAGGATCATAGACCTCACAGTTGTTGAGGACCCTCCCAGAGAAGTTGTTGCCCGCCACTCCTCCACAAACATAAATGAGCCCGTTGGCCTCCACTGAACCGTGGCTGAAGCGGGCCATCAGCATGCTGGTTTTGATTTGCCACGATGCCGTCCTTATGTCATAGCATTCGAAAAAGTCAAGGGCCGAGCTCCCTGTAGACAGACACATAGTCCCACAATTGAATGCTTTCAGAGGTGGATGATGATGATTTCCCCCCTTAAGAATCCTCAACTGCACTACATTTGTAGAAGAACGTATTTTGTAAATTAAAGTCTCCTACTTCTCTTGTGCACTCTCAGACAGATGGGGGCCCTCCTGCCATTTGCCTACTGGGCAAACGAGTTAGCGGATGATGGAGTCAGCGTGAGACTACACGACATCATGCAACACCTTGACTACCCAGGGACGTACACTAGGACTCCCTCTGTGGATTTCAGCTTGGCATTCAACACAGTCACCCCAGAAGTCCTCTTTTCCAAACTCACGTTACTTGCAGCGCCTGCACCGACTTGTCAGCAGGGTGACACACTACAGATCCTTCATAAACTCAACATAACCTCCTTCCTTTTCTTCCTTCTGACAGACGCTATAGGGTACGATGAACCAAAAGTGCCAGACAACAGATGATTTCACTCTCACCATGACCCTAATAAACAGTTCAGTCACTACTTACTGTCAAAAACATGTTCTTGTCAAGTATGCATTAAGCAGGCATGCATGAGATGCATGAATATAATCAATGATTACATTCATATACGACATTTTACTTGCATCTTTGCACTACTGTATAAAACCCTTTGGAAACACAGTGATCTGGTTCAATTACGCAATATGTACCTGTCCACATGCAACAGTTTCTGCTAAGTAATTTCGTTGGACAAGTGGTATTCCTCTTCTGTACCGCCACTTGGACCTTTAATGTATAATCCGCTTTACAAGTGTTCGAATAACCCTTAACTGTGGCCTCATGTCAATGACCAAATCCCAGTCATGTTGATGTATAGTACAGCAGTGTTCGCTCTCACGTGATACTGGTAAAGTATTGTGTCCAAGTACATTGAGAGATACTCAAACTAGTCAGACTTCTTGTGTGTGTAACATGCTTGGCCGTTTCCGATTCAACATTATAGTAATACTAACTAAACACTTCCCTTTCCGCAATCTACTCATTACATATACAAAACATAATCCCACATCCCCATGCTCACCCGCTTCCAACCCCCCAGATGTGTAGATCTTGCCACTGGCGACGCAGGCAGACAGGTTGTTCCGAGGTGTGGGCAGGCCCAGCTTGAAACACCAGCTGTTCTTCGCAATATCATAGCAGTCCATGGTGATGGCCCGTGAGCCACCCAAAAAGTACACGACTTTGTCCCAGAAGACAGCCGTGGCAGTGCAGTGCCTTTTGAAGGTGGAGCGAGTTTCTGTAAAGCTGGAGTTCTGCACGGAAAGCCATTAGAGGAGACCTAATTATATGCGACTATGCTACAACGTGTGATCAACGTCAAATCTGACAATAGTGAAAAAACTCAACTTACAAACTTTAAAACTTTTCACAAACTGGAAAATACACTTTGTCGTACTTCACCTAATTGCTGTGATTGCCCCTGTGGCAAAAATGTATGTGCAGCCTGGTACCTTGGGGTTGAAGTAGCGGCAGGACTGAAGCTGTGAGCCTCCAAACAGAGCAATGCGGTAGTCGTGCTTCTTGCGCCGCGGTCGGCTGCTCTCTCCCAGGTCCCTCCGGTCCTTCAGGGACAGCGGGCGGTAGCACATCGCACCTTAGAGAAAAGCACAGGATGTATTGTGTGTGCGCTTATGTCAACCCAGCAGGCCTTTGCATCAGTGTAGTTTCCGACACATAGCTGAGAAAAAAAAAAACAAACAGCTATTTTCCCATACCACTGTTTATGTCCCTTTACATCAGGGGTGGGCAATCCTGGTCCTCGAGGGCCACAATCCTGCATATTTTAGATGTTTCCCTCTTCCATCACACCTGATTCAAATAATCAGCTCATCATCAAGCTCTGCAGAAGCCTGATAACAATCCTGATCATTTGAATCAGGTGTGTTGGAAGAGGGAAACATCTAAAACCCTGGCCCTCGAGGACCAGGATTGCCCATCCCTGCTTTACATGAACAATAAAACATTGTTTTAGAAGCTTATTGTGCCCATTTGCGAAACTGAGTTTGTGTGTACAAATTTCCCTCTTTTCCTACTTACTGAGGACCATCTTGAGGCACTCTGGGTTGTCCTGGATGAGAGGCTCAGTCCGCACAGTCTTTGAGAGGAAGGTTTTGGAGACCAGAGGAAAGCGAACGCACCCCAACACCTCCGCCATGTACCGCTGTCTGTTACACACATCGTACTTCAACCAGCGCACGGCAGCATCATAGATCTGAACACAAATGCAGTTTAGTAGTCATAGGAGGTATGTCTTGATGTGATCAACACCATTAATGTAGTAATATAAGTTCTATAGAGTAGTATTTGTCAATTAGTAACATACACCTCAGAATAAAAAGTATTTTATGACTTCCCAAAAGTTGCACATCTCTAAAATACCAGCAGTTAAAGTAGAAACCTAAAAATAAAACAGAAATTAAGTATATGGCCAAGGGATGTGTACCTGGGCCTCAGCACGGACGGTGAGTTTGTCCTGGTGCAGTATGCGAGTGAGCTGCATAACGTTCAGTTGCAGGAATTCATCCAGTTTGTAGACTTCAGTGAAGTGGAGCTGGACAAAGTCCTCTGCTGCCGCCTTCAGCTCTGGACAGTCCATACAGTCTGCAAGGGATGAAATACCTGCAGGAGGACACAAAAGAAATCAGTGAATATAATAAATGACACAATTGGCAGGCCTGTGTTTGTATTTCAGTTGTTACCGAGGCAGTTTGTTGCATCAACCTGTCCTTTAAGAAACTCCACACACATCTTCTTCACGGGCTCAATCTGGTACTGGTTGGCTGCGTTCAACAGTGACTCGGCATTACTGCTGTTCACTGAGATTCTTGACATACACGGCACAAACAAGTACATGCCCCTAAATAAGAACTTGCTTAGCAGAATCAGGTTTGCCTTTCATGTAATTTAAAAAAAAAAAAGAAGCATAATAATGACGACACCTATAGATTACATTTGATCCAAGATTCTTACTGTGCCGTGTAAATGTATTCAATCAACAGCTCAATGATCTCAGGCTCAGCACTCCTGAGCTCCACCTCATGGGACACTGACTCCATCATTCTGCCTGGAAGTGAGAAAAACAGAGGTAGACCTCACAGAAAATAAAGATACAACAATGATAGCAGCAAGAAGCATTTTCATTACACAAAATCTGTTGTGTGGCAGGTTAGGGAAAATTTCAAAATGACTGACTTATATCATTTTAGTTTTAGTTAGAGATTATCAATCTTTGCACAGTACAACTTGCTTTTGCGCATAGAGCCAAAAAGTGCAGTCTCTTTTTCATCTAGGAGTTATCACAGTATATGAATACATGATGGGGATTTTAAAAGAAGTCCTCAATTATACTGTTAAATTTGTTTCCTTATTCAACTTTAAACAATAAAAACAGTGAAGATTTACCCCCCCACCATACATAAATGTGCTAATTTCAAATCATTTATGCAGCATATTCTCTATCGTCCACAATATTAGATTCTAATAGAAATCACACTATACCTCTAGTAAGAGCTGCAATTTTCTCACATTAATGGTTCACAGGGTCTCAGCATCCAGCATGTCTGTGCGTTTGTATATGTTTGTGTCTCACTTACTGGTGAACATGAGGCTGAAGAAGCGGCTGGCAGCAGCTAGAACTACTCTGTGGGCGGGAAAGTGTTTCCCCTGAACCACCAGGGTCACATCACAGAGTGTACCCTGAAATAAAACAAAGCACATCAGGGTTTTTCCTGGTTCACAAGAAGCCTTCAGGGGTGACTACACCAACAGTAAGCATGATCAGCCCACGTACAGTAGAGGCATTGAGTTGTTTTACCTTTGATAGAACTCTACACATGTCCTTCTGACCATTTAATTAAAAAAAAAAAAAAAAAAAAAGATATGCATACAAATACAGGAAATACCCCAAGCAAATATCTGTTACAGTCTTGTCCTCCTACTTTATCTTTGTGTACACACACCTGTTTTCTCAGGTTGTTCATGACTCCCATGATGCTGGACAGCTGTCTGTGCTCTTTGGTGGCACACTTCTTGTCGTCCTTTTTCTTGGCGCTTGACATCCTCTCTGAAGAGGCCATCCCTGTTGTGTTGGATTGATTGAAATGATATGTTCACTTGAATTAAGCAACAACATTTTCAGCACCACTGTAACCAGATTATGGTCAAGTAAGCTGTCTAAGGTTGAGCCACCTGCCATTCAGATTTTCTTTTGCGCCACCTTCTGCTCGTATGGTATTGATGCAGGAAACCCAGATACGAAGGGATCAATCAGTTTGGCTAAGGAGAGAAAAATGTTCGTTTTCATGTGCTTTAAAATTTTAATTTGCCTGTGACAACAAATATGTATCTGAATAAGTTCTTTGCTTTTATTTTTCCAGGCAACAGCTATGTGCTTTTAACTGGCTAAGCCCTACGTTTTGACTTAAATACAAAGACACAAAAGTACAGTCTGGACACAGGTAACAAACCTCTTGCAGTAAATAAAGGATGCTGACCCAGTGACAGGTCATAAGTCCTTCCCATGAAAATGGCTGTGGCATAAATCTGATTACTGGCCGGGTCCAGCTGAGACTGCAGGAAGTGAAGGACAAGCTACAAATACAGGTCTGAAAGATTGTTCACCGAGGGAGCAATGAGCTCAAATTGAAGGAGCTCCAATGACACGTGGACAGTCTTGTCAAACTGCTGACAAACTGGACTCTGCAGAGGCTAGGAGCTAGCACAAGGCAGTTGGGTTCGGATGGCAAATCTGTCTGTCTACCTGCAACACGGGATCTGCTTGGACTGGTAGCTGCCACAGGTGAGCCTGTATCCACTGATCTAGAAACCATGGCCTTCCTGGCAAATGTGGAGCAATCAGCAAAATTATGCCCCTCCAGAGAACTTGTGGGCTCACAGGGAGAGCAGTAAAAGCACATAAAAAGCCTGTTTGCCATTTGTGTGACAGAGCATCTATGCCCAAGCTGCCCACCTATGAGTGAGTACTATTTTTTTTCGTGTTGTGTATTGCTGCCACAGATGACATTACTTCACTGCTGTAACAGTCTTTTTAACATTGCAATGACAACAAAGAACTATTCTACTCATGACATTTGCCCAGGCTGTCCTGCAGTGGGGTTTCAATATGAGGTATGAAATGCGACTAGATGAACCCTTATTAAAAGCATTCCAGGTGACAATACGTTTTAACTGTTTTTACTCTTTACAATCAACTTTCCATTACTTCCAATTACGTGAAGCTGTTCAGCTTTAACGTGTCTCCCCTCAATCGGTTATCGATTAATCAGTCTGGCTAAGCGGCTAGGCTAACTACTGCTATGTTAGCTTAGGCTAACTTAAATATAGGGGCCTGTTGCATCGACAAAAACAGTTTCTTTATGACCAAATGTTCCAAAAATACGTAGCTAAGCAAAAAGAAAGCAAAGGAATAATTTATTTCAAACGTATTCTCCTCCACTACATTGTCAATAAAAGGGAAAACGAGGATAGCATTTATGTTGCTATAAGTTTAGCTAACTGGCGCCGAATTTACGAGTGAATTCGGTATATGGTACAACAAAATGACACACTTAAGTCTCTCTCGCAGACCAACTGTGATAAAGTAAATAGTGGATAAACAAGAAGGTTACTTACCTGTATCTGGTCTGATGCGATAGAATCAAACAGGTCGAGCCTGCAGGTGACCCCGCTTTTATAGCGCTGGTTCCGGGTCACTTCCAGCAGTGTGGCGCTGATATGAAAAGTCATCAGCTGGATCTCTTCATGAGTAAGTGGCTTGTTGCGAGTTTAGACGAGAAACTTAATTACAGCTTCGCATCAGTGAGATTACTGGATTAGCCGTCGCTGCTGGTCAATTGAGGATGTGATTATTTCTCCAGCGAAGATTTGCAATATAGTCTTAGAATTAGCTCTCTAATAGTGCTTTTCTTGGGGATTTGAGACACGAACACTGGATTGTTGCACTCAAGAGGTAATTATAAGGATCCAGAGGAACACAAATGGTTCTAATGTCTCTTATTGTGCTATAAAAAAATAAATAAAAAAATACTAAAGAAGTGTAACGGCACCTATGCTGCCTCGGCTGGTTTGGCATGGTGAGATGTCTTTGCCAGGTGCATACACTGAAGGAATCATGGATAAAACATGGTATCAAAATGTAGGTAAAAAAAAAAAAAAACCTAACTAGTTTTGACCAATCATCTTTTCCACATAGTGATAAGACTGTTGAAAGTTTACCCAAAATGCACTTATTCAAGTTCTATCCAGGGCATTATTAGAAAACAGATGACACATTCAGAGTACCAATACTTGCTTCTATGACTGATGACACAGATATTAAACTGGTGCTGCTGAAACTGTGATATATCCCACGATCCTGATGCTAAAAGCTGGTTATAGAGAAAAAATGAGCAAAAACGAGATTTAGTCTTTAGATTGTGGCAACTGGAGTGGATGAAAAAATGATTTAGTTGCAGCTTCTAAGAAGCTTCTCTTCTTTCATCCCTGAAAGTATCATGTAGTTATCTCCTGTCGGCTGCTCATGCACTTATTAAAAAAAATCGAAATAAAGAGTGTGCATTTTTGATGTACTTCAATGGCCTGTACCTAAAAAAAATGTTTGCAATATGAAGGTGCAATTTTGCATGACTGTATTTTTTTTTTTTTTTTAAATCCACTGATTCTGAGGAGATCAGGTCGGAAGCACTGGTTGACTTTTCAGGACCTGACCCAGTTGCGGTTTATGTTTCTTATCTTCGTCCTGACATGTGACAAATCACAGCCACTTGCAGGATTGCGGAAGTGTTTCATGCGTTAACACCGACTGTTGATCTGGGGGTTCTGATTTATCGTATTCGGGGTGATCACACTTTTATAGTTCGTATTTCAGATTTAACTTTAATATTGCTTCATCTATTTGGAATAGCAGAGTTTAGTCTACTTTTCAGCTCACCTGCAGGTGCACCTGTCAGCCACATTCATACCTGCACCTTGGTTCATAAAGCACAACCAGGAAGATTTTTTTTTTTGTTTTCTGTCAGGCGTCGTATGACAATGACGTAATGCGGAATGCGGACTACAAATTACTTCTGGCATTGTGAGGAGTAACTGACCTGAAAACAAACTGAAAGCCACCACAGTTGCAGAAAATGTCCCGTTTTCTCTGCTGTTGCTGCTTCTCAGACGAAAACTCCAGCAACGAGGTACGTGTTTCCTCTGAGTTTTATGGATCTCTTCATGAGTAAGTGGCTTGCTTCGAGTTTAGACGAGAAACTTAATTACAGCTTCGCATCAGTGAGATTACTGGATTAGCCGTCGCTGCTGGTCAATTGAATCACTGTAAATTAGGATGTGATTATTTCTCCAGCGAAGATTTGCAATATAGTCTTAGAATTAGCTCTCTAATCGTGCTTTTCTTGGGGATTTGAGACATGGACATTGGATTGTTGGACTCAGGAGGTAATTATAAGGGTCCAGAGGAACACAAGTGGTTCTAATGTCTCTTATTGTGCTAAAAAAACAAAAACAAAAGAAGTGTAAAGAGATCTACTCTGCTATTTCAGAGGCAACCGCTCCTGCAGCCCAGACCATCTGATGTAGATGGAACTGGATCAGCCAGGCAGGGTCGGCCAGCACTCAGTGGTAGGTCATGTCTGTCTCTGAAATGTATGCTGAAATAAATGACTGATTTGTAACCACCTTTATCCTTTCTGTGTCCATGTGTGTCTCTTATGATAATCCTAAGAGCTTCAGCAAAGGCAACTGGACTTTTCTTTGTAGTTCTTGATGACGTTTCATCCATCTCTGCAAAAACTGCAGCAAAATCAATTTTACATCCACCTCAGATGTCACAATCTTTAGCCAAATTCTCATTTTAGTTCTGCACCAGTTTTTTTATAACCAACATTGAGCATCAAGATCATGGATAGTAGTCATAGTTTCAAAACTGCACCAGCTTAACATCTGTGATAGACAGTAATAGAAGCAAGCATTGGTACCCTGGATGCCTTTTCTGTTTTCTGATCATTTACTCAGTTGGGTCATCAGGAACCAAAAAGAGAAGTTCAATTGCTTTTTCCCTGAGAACCTACATTCTCACTCATTTTTTGAAAATTCTGTCCAGATGCACAAACCGTGAAACGGCTTGGAAGGCTGGTGATGAGGCGAGTGTGTGTGCCAGAGCTGGATCGGAGATTTTCTGACGTGGCTGAGACCTTCAACGAGCAGCAAGAATGCCACGAGGCCATGGTCCGACACATCAGGAACCTGCAGCAGAGCTGCGACTGTACACGTGGTGGTTCTCTGGCTTTTGCTGAGTGTGTGGGCAAGATCAGAAATGAGCATGGTGAGCAGCACACTGTACCTTTCTGTTCATGCAATGTGATAGCAAATGTCTCATGATGTGTTTCCATTTCTTTAATTTATTTCCATGTGTCTCTGTTTCTAGAGGCCACGCACAGAGTCTCTCTTACGATTAAGGGCTATGGCTTCTCCCTCAGCGTGGTTCCTGTGGGGTCAGAGGGCGAAAACGAGGAGGAACCACTACCTCCACGTCTGCAGTCAGCTCAGAATGAGCTGAAGAGCATCTCTGAGAACGCCAAGGCTGCCATCTCAAGGGGTACCTCACTTCAGGAGCTTATAGGCTGGCTGCTTCGGAGCCAAGATAAAATAGCAGAGCAAGTGAAAGGAGCAGCAGCAACCTACCAAGAGCAAGGACGAATGAAAGAGAATCTGGAAGAGAACATGAGGGAAGTGAGGAGGGCGAAGGAGTTGTCGCAGGAATACAGACAACAGGCCCGAGAAATTCTCACTGAGGCTGCGCAGATAGCAGGAGCTCATCTGTAGTCCATGCACCTTTAATTGATCAACTGCTATATAGAACATGTACAGATTGAAATACTGAGTCAGGGTATACACATTTTTTGACAATTGTGGGTAGAGAAGCGACTGCCTCAGAGCCAGGCTGTCTGTCACGGCTGAGATGGAATAAAACCTGCCTGTCTTGCCCTCAGACTTGGCAAGCATGCCAGGCACAACCCACTAGAAGCTGGTTTTGTGAACGTTATCACTATGTGTAATC